TTTGAGATCTGTAGTCTGAATTTTCAAGTTTGAAAACTAACAACTCTGATCAAACTGTCTTGACAAGTTCAATATTGAACAAAAGTTGAAAGTTTTCATCAGCAATTCCTTACAAATCTATGTTCTATAGCAACTTCTCGATCCTTTTCAACATCGCACTTACGAAAAAAAATGCTTAATATATTTCCGAATCATCAAAAACTTCGGCTCATAATGCCTTCGTAAGGCTTCGAGTATTCACAAACTGATGCTACGCTTTATAGTATTGTGGTCAAATATCTCTTGCAACAAACATTGTCTTTATAATGTGTCCTAGCATATGTTTAAATGAGAAAAAAAATATCCGAAATCGGTTCAGGCATTGGTCTAACTTTATGATCAACAATATTAAACTAGAAAAATTTACAAATCATCTCATATTTATAGGAAAATGAAGATTGTAAAATAAAATATGTTATGCCAATAACTATGAGTTTTAGAAATTGACTTCTGCCATCTAAGAGTCGCTTCAAGAATAATTTCTTGTTTTGTTCGTAATCTATCAAACTGTCTGAATATAGAAAATACTGAATTTTACATGAAAGAATCCATGAAGCTTTTAGTGTCACTATTACAATATCCTTAAAAGATATTTTCGATTTTATTGAAAATTCAAATCATAATAGGAATTCCATTCATTCGATTCTATACTATTTGCCATATTGAGAATATAATGGTGCAACTTTGATATCGGTAAGGAGTGTGAATGTATTGATATTCCTAACTAAAACCTAACATCCACACTTTTGACCATTTTCAAGATTTGATTCAGCTCTTACAAACATTAATCATTGAATATGATGAGAAGATAAAAAGAAAATTTTTATTTTTATCGAATGTATCATTTATTCGATAGTCTTGATGACGTTTTTTTTTCATATATTTAGTTACTAAATTTATTGTTTTGATGAAATATTCAATTCTATTTAATTTGAGACTAATCACTTAATAAAATGTTTTCTGAAGTCAATCTCTCTACGAAAAATCGATAAGGATATTACATAAGAAACAGGCACTCTTCATCTTAATGAAAAAAAAGTATTTTGTGCATTCAAAATTCATTCTACTACAACTTAGGTTTATATAAGACTGAAAGACAAAATAATAACTGTAAATAAATTTAAAATGTTATAGATTAATTTCATATATTCAATGATGACGTGGTCTAATTGACCGACCTAAACAATGTATATAATCAATATCCGAATATCAATAATTTATTCTGTGATTTTTCTTTCAGTATCGTCAAAATTATTCTGAAATTTGTAAGCACAAAACACTTCATCGTTAACAATCACCATTATTGTAATCTTTAACCTTCTGGATACGGCTGGTCGACATCAGAGTCAAGATCTTTATCTCGATGTTAATTATAGGAATCTGTCCTAATTTATGTTTTCTTAAATACATTTATATGTGAAAAGAAGAATCAAGCAGTACATGAGAACTAGAATTTCACTTCATTAACACAAGCTCTAGGATCGTTCAATAAAAAATTCATAAATTTTATGTAAAATTGTGTCTCATTTTTCTCATGTCATATGTGAAGAACGAAAAACAGCTAAACCTAACCTGTCTATTAGTCTTAGATATTTTTTTTTAGAAATCTTATTATATCGATTCATCTAAGGTTAATTATTGTTTTAGAGATGATGCCATTGAGAAGAAAAAGCACATCTCTGGAGAATATTTGTTGAGTTTATGTAAGATTGCGTAGAACTTTTGTTATTAAAGATTTTTTCTATGAATTACTAATAATCAAATATATAAATTTTAGAGAGAATTACTTCTTTTCTCAAAATGATATTATTTTTGACAATCAATATTTGAGTACTAGATTTGGTTTTGAACCTGTTATAATTCTTGACTGATAAAAATTCAAGATTCTACTAAATCCTTGTTTTCAAGTGATATTGACATTAGTGACAACTTTTTCAACATACTTGTAGGTTATAATATTTATGCCTCTTCGAATGTTTTTTATCTAAATGGTTTTATTTCGAAATAGTGTAAAATATTTCCAATGACAAAACTAAGAAATAACTAAGAAATGTGAATAATCTAGAACTGTTCAATTGAGTTTATCTGACTAGTTCAAAGAATTTTTCTTAAAAATCAAAAACCTGAAAAATAATTCACTAATAGACTCGTTATTAAGTAATAAACAGAAACAACTTTAAAAGAAATTCATCTTCTTTTTTTCTCAATTAGCTTCAACAAAGCATCAAGAGGAAACATTATCTTCTAATCGATTGTCTCTATTTGCTTTCTCACAGATGAATGCGAAGTAAATCTATAAAGGGTATCTCAAAAATAACATTAAAAAAATGTATTTATTCATCAGCTGATTAAATCAAATTAACATTTACTCCTGAATGATAATCAAAAATCTAGTTTTAATTTTCAAATACATATAAGGTAGTTCAAACAATAAGAAATACTATTCTGATTTGACTATTAGAAAAAATGAGAAAGAAGCTCGATTAAAACCTGTCCAATAGTTTGGACAAATAAAAACAAATTTTTCTTATTCTTTTTTAATGAGTACGCAAACATACACTCTCAGCATGTTTTATTAGTTTAAATATAAAACTATCAAAATATATTTCATTCAGTAAAAAACAACTAATGAAGAACTGTGTGCCCAATTGCAAAGATTTCAAGTTAAATCTCTAATTATGTCAACATTGGCACTATCAACGATTTTCTAAGGCAACCGTTTTTCTATCCCTCATGGCTGCAACATAACAAATTTTCCACATTCTTGTCAGATTTAAAAATCTTTCATATATTGAACATTTTCACAAATTTTTCTCTACAAATATGTGCTTATATATTTTTGTAAAAAATATGAATCTCTTCAATTTTCTATTTAAAACTGATTGATACCTAAATTAAATACACACAAAAAAAACAAGTAAAAAATTGATTTTCAAGAAATCTATATTCTACAGTCTTCTCTTCTGAGATTTAAACATCATACCATATCTTTTAGTCCACGTAATGAAAATCAAAATAAGATAGGTGTTAAATTATTGATTTTAATAACATTAAAATTTTATGACATAGATTGTGTACATATATATACTAATGTTGCTGTAGATATATGATTGAATCTATATATATATATATATGATCTATCTGTAGATGAGGAGGTTAGATTCTCAGTAATTAGCTTTTGAACATAGAAGGTCTTGATATTTGCACAGGTACTTATAGATCGTAGTCTACATTACTATGGGCAAATAGTTAACTAACTAGCGATGAAAAAGATCCTTCTTAAATATTAGTTCATTTTTTATATGCGCGAACATCTTTCTGATTTTGTGTTCAAGAATACTCTATCAGACCTTGTCTCTCGGTGAAAATAATTGTCTCAAAGAGCATTAAAAATGTATCTTCTAATATAAACAATATCGTCATAACTTGAAGAAGGTTCAAATCTAGATATTAAACCATGTTTGGGACAGTGTTACTATTCGTTACTCAGTGTTAGAGCTAAGGCTTTTCCAAATATTGTTTTCGAGATATTCATAGAGTCAATACGTCAGATCATTTATAAACATCAGTTCATGTAAGTTTATTTTGAAGATTAAGTCATTCAAATCTCGAAAGCTTTTATCGGCTCCTTATGATTTTTATATTCGAATTCGACTGTATATGTTAAGTCGCTATTTTTTTTAACTTTTCGATCAATTCATTAGAAGCGAATATCAAACTGTTTTCGATTACGCTTGTAGAGAATACGGTGATGAGTCTAAGCCCAAAAAAATCAACAATATTAAGTGAACTCATATCCAAACAAACGTCCGAGTCTTTTTTCGAGCCTTTCACTTTGTTCTGTTGTAACAGATGACATTTTAGTAATGCCTCAGATTATAATCATCAAGAAGGAATAACGAACCGATTCTGAATGAACTTTTTAAAAATACTTTTCAATTTATATATATATAAAATAGCTTCCAATAAAATGAGTAGTTCTCAATAAATTATCTTCTAAGTAGTTTTTCAACATTTCTTCCAATTACTACTCATTTTATTGACACTTTTTCAAAAAATATCTTGTGAAATTCTCTACAAATGCCAAACAAGAATATCTTCAAAAGTATCAGTGGAAAACTACATTTGATTATTGATGTTATATCCGAAAAAATGTTGCTCTCAACGTGGCTTTGTGTTTAAATTCATTCTTTCTCCTTCGATTAAACAGACTTCAGATTATTGTAAATTGGCTCCCTATGATACTAAGTAGATTGTTTCTAATAGAATTTAGAAAAGATGTTCAAGCAATTTTGTGACACTTCTCAAAGTCAGCCTTTTCGAGATTATAAATTGAAGCCGTATAAAATTGAAAATCCTGTTTAACTAAATCAAAATTTTAGGGAGTTTGTATTGACGATTCTTAAAATTTAAATAAAGGAACACTTACAAGATGTTTTCTTTGGAAAGGTGTATGGAATAGAAAAAATACTCTTTCAACTGATAAAACTTTTCGTGGTCTACAAAATGTAATATTTAAAGTTTTTTTCTTCATTAACAAATAACAATGGAAAATCGAAACAATAAGAAAGAAAACTGCGAAATGAGTATAATGAGAGTTTAGTAATACTAGTCAGGTATAATTAGTTTCCCATTTATCTTATTGAAGCGATACTGCTAAGCAGTTTTATAAAGAATATTATGCACTATGAATTGAAAAAATATGTGCGTCAAATTGTCAACAAGCGGATCGATATGTCTGAAATATTTAAAAGGTGATTCTTTTAATAGGTTGCCTATTCGATTCTGTACATGCATTTTCAAGATTGTTCATACATATTTTAACCGATAAAATACGGACTAACATTTGTATAGCAAAGTTTGATGAACTAGATAAACTATTATTTCTTAACTATGAGAGTACATATGGAACTTCAACCTATTTATATGACGGAATTTCAATATTGTCAATTACTATAATCTTAATGTAGCATATCGAATGAAAATAATATTTTATGAAATACTTTTGTTATATTACAAATGTGATTAGAAAGAATATTTTCTTGCTTACTTGAAAATCGTTGTTGAAGTAGCAAGTGAATCAAATATTTCTTTGTCTTGCGATTAAATTCAACGCTTTCAACCCGAAAGCAAACACCTGGTGTAATAAGTTCTTCTTCTTCTTCAGAATACTCAGATAATGGACTGAGATCAGCAATAAAGGCATACAACACTTTCATAATGAATAATGTGTTTCCAAATTCTTCGGCTTTTTCACGATTGCGACTACAAGATGTATAGGCTTGAAATGACCCAAATGCCACTTTATCTTTGGCCATATCTTTATATTTAGCAATCTGTTTCTTCGTCAGTTCGGCTCCTCGATAAAGTGTCTTTTTAATTGTCACTTTTTGATTAAATGGATCATCCCAGAGTAGTAAACAGAATGGACCTAATGTACGAACTTTACTTCGCCATACTTGTTCACGTTCTTTATCTCCAACTAATCTCATTGCTGCATTCAATGTTTTGTAGAGGAAACTTTCCAATGTGTAAAGATAAACACAAAGTTTCCATACTTCCTCCATACCAGCGTTCTTCTTTTCTCTTAGCATTTTAGCTAATTTTTCGGCTTCTCGTTGTTTTCCAATGTGTTTTCCTTCTTCAACAATACCGCAAGCAGCTTTTTCAATAAGCATCGGAATCATGTTTGGCTTTTTTGAAGGTAAATCATCTGGTTGAAGTTTCAGGTCTCTTCTGACTTCGATGACAAAGGGACTTGCCCAACCGTATTGACCACCAAACGAACGTTTAGTATTAACAGGAAGGTCCATAAAACGTGTTTCTCGTAGATGTTTGT